CCATTCTATGATTCTAAAAGTCTTGATAATTGCCAACTTTGATAAGACTAAACATAGGTAAAGTTCAGTTAACATACTGCAAGAGAATTGTCCCTATCCCTTCAATAGTATAGACATGCAGCCTGGATCTAATTAGTTGAAAATATAGATTTGACATTCTGACCTTACAAAAAATATTTTAGCTTTATAAAATATCCAGAAAATCAAGATTGAGTTCAGCATTTCATCAGCATCCATAATCACTTGCACTCATTATGAAGGAAGTATGTGCATTTCTTACTGGACAGATTCAAGGAGTAGGAGCCTAGGGAGACTTTGCTGTTAAATCAAAGGATGATAATTTCATCTGTGATATTTTAAGTAACAACACTGAAGAAAGTAGTATCAAATGAAAAGGCTTGTTTCTTAAAGGTTTATGGTTTCACACTGTCTCCTTCATTTCTGGCTAATGAGAATGGGAGAGACTGCAACTAATTCGGTAGCCAAGGAGATTGCTATCCTGTTTTATATGATTAATTATTTTAGAGAATTTCCTTTTTGGCTACATAATATTTGCCAGAATGACAGATATTTGTATACCGTTCTTACCAGGTATGCACACTTATGATTTCAAATATTCAATTAACTGCTACAGAATCTCAGGATTCAGTGGTTCAGAGCTAGATTCTCTTAGGCACAGTAGGATAAATTTTATACTATATGTATTTATATCCTATCTATACTATATACATATATTATTTATTATAAATATTTATCTCATATACATACATATATATATATTTGTATCTTATAAATAATTTATCCTAACAAATGACATAATTAATTTATATCTAGGAAAGTGTTAAGTAAGTAGATTAGAAACTGGCAGAAATTTTCATTCCATGAAATTTCTCATACACAGTACCTTTTAATTGAGTTGATCACTTGAATTATCAGAAGATCTAGCTCTAAAAGATCTTGGATAACTGGATAAGTTAGTTCAGGCTTGATATACGTATTTTAATAAAGTAGTATGTTTATTCATAAATGCTATGAAAAAGAAACCCAAGCAATTATTTTTTTCAACAGCATAAACTAATTATTAAAGCTGATTTTTAATTAAAAACAACTCAAGTGTATTTGTGCACAAATGGATAGCATAGGGCTTTTTAAGTAATCACTCTGAACATATAAATCAGCTAAACATTTATCTAAGGTAAATTTAATTTATTTTTTCTCTTGAGTTAAAAATTGCACTTACAGAAAAAAAAAAACACAACCATTAACAAAAATGAATGTGTTTCATTTTATTTCCATATGAGCCTTAATTCTCTTCCACTTTTCCTGGACACATCAAAATTTTACAATAATGGTGGTGAAGCACTGGAACAGGTTACCGGAGTGATGCTGGATGCTCTGTCCCTGGAGACTTTCAAGGTGAGTCTAGACAGGCTCTGAGCAACCTGATCTAGATGCAGGTGTCCCTGTTCATTGCAGATGTTGAAGATGTCACCATGCAATTCTACCCATGGTGTTCTTCCTGTCCTCTAATTGGAGGATTTAAGCCCTGTGTTGTCATTTGCCAAGTGAGACAGATGATACAACATCTGCAAAACCTGAGGGCTCAGGAGCCTCTCAAGCTGGATCAGTGTTCGACAGAATAGATACCTTCTGTGTCAGTTCTTGCTCCAGTATCCCAGCCTCATTCACTGCCACAGGCTCTCATGCGGCTGAATTGCTCATTTGTGTAGTTTGAGCTAAAGGTTTGGAGTTGTCCAGGGAAAGGTATGTAGAAAAGGTCATTTTTCACTCATTTAATCAATTTTTTTTTTTTTTGTCTTTTTTCCCAATTGATTCCTAGCTGTTCATACCTGTCATAAGAAGCAACACTACTAGAATAAAACCTGTAAGAGTTATCTTGGCTTTGTTCAAGCACATTCATTTCCCAAATAATTGTAACGTGTGACAGTCAGAAGTGCTGATCTGTCAGTGTGAGTACGTTCAAGTTCACTGTTTAGGTTTTGCATTCAGTCACAATGAGGATGAAAACAGAAATGAAACTTCACAGTCTATTGTGCTGGAATGGAAATCCTAGACTTGTTTTCTCAGTTTCTCACAGTCAGGCCATAAAAATGTATTTATATCCGTTACTGAAGGAGACCTCCTTGGTGCCCCTGCACTAGGAACACATGCAATGAGATTGGCCAAACAGCCACTAACTTCAGCAATGCTCAAATTGCATCTCTAAAGGGCATAAATTAAGGAAGCCATGTGCAGTGACACAGATGGCACAGCAAATTAACAAAGCTATATATATATATATATATATATATATATATATATTTTTTTTACAGTGGAAAAAAATGCCTTTAATTTAAAAGAAAGAAAATAATAACAAACCAGAATGAACTTATTATGCAGAATAAACTTATAATTGAAGTTTAATTGTCACCTTCCATAAAAGTAAAACTGCATAATAAGAAGCATTAAGAGCAAGCAATCGCAGTTAAAGGCATAACATGAGCATCTGGTTCTTGCATATTATGGATGATATGTTAATATATGATCTAAACTTCATCTCTAATGCTTTATAAACAAAGATAAATTAACAGGATCAATTTTTCCTAGCAAATATTTTCCACCTAACAGGATAATCTTTGAACACTAATAAAATAAACCACAAATCATATTTACTCTTGGGCTTACTTTCTTGATGCATTTTAGCCTAGCTTGAGACAATATGGCAAACTCTATTAGCTAAAGCATAATTTACTTTTTTCTCCAAAGAATTAGTTTTGTTTTTTTTTAAGGTGGTTTTGCATAGATACAGTTGCTCTCAGAGTAAATGAACTAATAATAATTAAAATTTACTCATTAAATTAACTAATTTAATTAAGCAATTAACTTAATCTGAATTTTCCATGAGGTATGAACCCAATACTACACATTTATTAAAGATTACAACCACTTTTTACATTTAGCAAGAAGACTTTTACTCATACAAGTGCATAGGTGTATTATGAATTCTATACATGATTAGAACAATGAGTATTATATGCACGTGGTCATTTTAAACCAAGATCATTTCATGAGTTAAGACTCGTGTATATAACAATCACAAGTACAAAAATACAGTTGGTGGGTGAAAAGGCCATATATCTAAGTTTATATATTTTTGACTCAATATATTCTTAGAGTACTGAGTATCTGTGTTGAGGGGTGAAACAAATGAAATTCCCATTACACTGAAAAATGTTATTTTCTCTGTGAATTGGTAGATAAATGTCATTCAGCAAACCATCTGAAAAACCTCGACTTTCATGTAACTCTGCATGTTTACATAGCCACAAACAAGTGAAGACACATCTGGAGGTCTTCTCTTCTCAGGAGATTCTCAATCCTGAACTGATAGATTCACCTATCTATCTGATCCTTTTTCACTGAGAAGCATACAGTCAATTACCAGGTCTTTACTGAAACAAAATAAGCACTGTCTGGAAAATTAATAGTTTCTTTGACCACACCTATATAAGCTTTTTTGCCAGGGAGGCTGACAGAAGACTGAGAAGTTCTGAAGTGGGTGAACAGAGAAATGGTTAAATGGTACTGACCAAACTTCCCCAACAAAGTAAACAAGTACATAAATAAATAAAATATAGAAAAAAAATAAGACAGTATTGTTGAATCCATTGAACGTTTTTGGGTTTTTTCTTTTTCTTTCTTTTTTTTTTCTTTTCTTTTTTCACTTAGATTACAACCTAAGTTCTTAGTGGTGCAGTATACCAAGGAAGCTCTGCCATAAAATCATAGAATCATAGAAACATTTCAGTTCTCTTAGAAGAGAATATCAAGTCCAACCTCTTTGCAGGGAACAGGAACACCACAAGATCAAGTTACCCTGATCCAGGCCTCATCTCAAAAGTCTCCACAGACGCGGAATCCACCACATATCTGGGCAACCTGTGCTAGTGCCAGTGCCTCACTACCCTCACCATAATAGACTATTTCCTTGTGTCTAACCTAAATCTACAAACATTCTTGCAAATGTTTCCCCTTGTTCTACTGCCACAGACCCTGCCTGTCCCCTTCTTTCCTGTAGCTTTCTTTTAGATATTGAAAGGCCGCAAACGGTCACAACTACAGGCTTTCTCTTCTGCAGGCTGAACAGCCCCAGCTCTCTAAGCCTGCCCTCAGAAGAGAGGTGTTCCATCTCTTGGATCATTTTTCTGATGTGCTCCAACAGGTCTATGTCTCTCCTGTGCTGAGGACTACACACAGTATTCCAGGTGAGGTCACACTAGCACAAAGTAGAAGGCAGGATCAGCTCCCTCAACCAGCTGGCAACCCCTCTTTTGATGCAGCTTAGGATGTGGTTGTCTTTCTGGGCTGCAAGGGCACATTGCTGGCTCATATCCAGCTTCCCATGACCAGTACCCCCAGGTCTTTTGGGGCAGGGCTGCAGTCAATCCTTACATCCCCAAGCTTGTATTGGTAGTGAATGTTGCCTTGACTCAGGTGCAAGACCTTACACTTGGATTTGTTGAACCTGGTGAAGTTCACCTGGGTTCACTGCTCAAGCCTGTCTCGGTCCTTCTGGATGGCATCTCATCCTTCTGTATCTAACAAGAACAATTATATTCCCTTAGAAAGAACAATTATTTCCAGTGATAGTGTTTCATGATTGATTATATGTCTGTAAGAGATTATTCTGTTAACTTCTGTGTCTCAAAGCTTGCTGGGGACACAGATGGACTTGTTCAAGTCCAGACAAGTCCCGAGCAAGGACCGTGAAAATCTTTGTCTTAAGGAGACAGATGGATAAGTCCAGGCAAGCCCTAGGCAAAAGTTGTGAAATCCTTTGTCTGGGGGAACATAGATGGACAAGGCCAGGGGCGACTAGAGCAGATGAACTGCAGCTAAATAGCTGTGAAGTGCTCCTTTGTGTGGACCTATCTCCGGATGATGGGCCATCTTAGAGGGTGCTCAATGACTCTTGCTCGAGGCCCATCCTTGTCAGGTAGGCAGGAGAACAAGGAGGATAAAAGAGGAACTGAAAACCATGAGGATAGGTTTTCTGACAACAGATTCCTCATGAAGAACCCAGGGTTTCTGACAGTTCAGATTCCTCACGAAGAACGGAGGTTTCTGACAACAGATTCCTCATGAAGAACGGAAGGTTTTCTGACAACAGACTTCTCATGAAGAAGAATGGAGGTTCCTGACAACAGATTCCTCATGAAGAACGGAGGTTCCTGACAACAGATTCCTCATGAAGAACGGAGGATTTCTGGCAGCAGATTCCTCCTGAAGAAGAAGACGGATTCCTGAAGATTGAGGTGATTCCTGCATACTGTCGAACTCTCCTGAGCCTGCTGCCTGACCGCTGTTGCTGCTTCAAGAATTGGCTCCTCAACTTCCTCATCTACCTGCCTGCTGCCCAAGGCCGGCCACGCTGCTGCTCTCCATCTTCTGCTGCATCTGCCCGGGACCTTCAAACACCGTGCAACGGGACCGCTGCTGGATCCTGCTGGTGACTATCCTCGCTTTACGCAACTCCTGCTTCTTTTCCATCTTTTCTATCGCACTCCTTCCCTTCCCTGTCTCCCTGATTAGGTTTTAGTAATAAACTGTATGCAACAACATATGAACCGTTGTTTCTTAATCTCACACCGGGTATACAGATATTAAAAGAACCTCATCTCCCTCCTATAAATTGGAGGGAGACAATGTCTTAGAGAAGTAATCAAACAAGCAAACACAAACAGCAACATAATCCCCTGGAGCTGAGAAGATGACTAAGAGACTGGAATACCTTTCACATGAGGAAAGGCTGAAATAAATGGAACTGAGAGTCTAGGGGATCTTAAACACATCTGTAAATATGATGGGGAAAATGAAGTTGAGGGAGAAAGACTTGATGGATACAAATGACAGGACAAGATGAAACTTATAAAACATAAATCTAATTCTATCTGAACACAACATTTTATTGAGAGAGTGATCAAACATTGGAACAGGTGGCCCAGAGATCCTGTGGTGTCTCTGTAGATATTCAAAACTTCACTAGAAATTCTATTGTACAATCTGATAAATGATACTCTTGATCAGAGAGTTGGGTTTGATGAACACAAGAGGTCCCTTTCAACCTTAACATTTCTTTGATTTTGTGATTGTTTGAATTAGCTGTATCAAAATTTTGCAAGTTTTATTTAGCTGGAAATTTTTAAAAGCTATAGTTGATTCCACAGAAATATCTTTATTCAGATGTCTTTCTTTCTTCTCCTGATACCAACCTAGAAAAGATATTGAAGTTAGATAGATGGACTTTAATTAGTGTTCTTCAGAATGCCATGTCGAGTGGATTTGTCCTGGCAACCCTGAAGGTTGAACGAAGAGGACATCTAACTGGGACTGTATTCCAGCTCTTTTTTTCTGTGGAGTACAAAGGCCAAGAAAGAAAGACAAGCATCATTCTCGCAATGTCTTCAGCTCTATCAATTAGATCAGTCTATATCAGTTTAGATAATATGTACACAATATACATGTATAAATTAGATGACCAGTCACTTTGACTCACTGTTTCTCTAAGTGGGAGAATATTTTTGAGATAATATTCTCATTCTAAGTGGGAATTTAATACACTTATCTCCATTTCAGACTTAAAATGAAGATTACTGTACCCCAATGGAAGTGCCTGAGAGAAGACTCGTGGGGCTAATATTTTTCGTGCATGTCAAGGGTGCTACATGTTATCATCTTGCAACCCACAGTACTTCATAAATGAAAAATAATGTGAAAAGTCGTCAAAATGTTATTGTTATGAGCTTCAGTCCTCTGTATTATAGCTAACTACTCCTTGGTTTTCTCCCTATTCACCCAAATTTCACATTCTTTTTAACCAGGAAAGTAAGCAGATAACTCCATAATCTGGGCTCTCATTAAAAGACTTTCTGCTACTATGAAGTCACAATGGGAGTCATCAAAATCAGCTTTTGATCTGTAGTGCATAAAAATTAGCATATGAGCAATGCATCTCAGAATGGCTGGGAGACCAGTTCCTACTCCAAGCTACTTGAAAGTGCTTTAGTTAGCCTAGGTTTTGTTGTTGTTGTTGTTTGTTTGTTTGTTTTAAACTAAGGTAAGGGAAGAGGAAAATTCAGTCAAAATTTTGGGTTTGGGTTTAAAAAAAATTTTTTTTAAATGTTTACAAGAGACAGGAGATCATTATCTAAAAGAAGTATTTTTAAAAAGAAAACAAAACAATATCCTCCCTAAAGTGAACAGCAGTCCTCACCAGCTCTACCTGTCTGTGAATAACTCTCTTATCCTACAGGCTTCCAAATCATAAATATCACTTTAGCCTATAAGACAAGATACTGTCTGTGCATCAATATCACCAGATTGAATTTTAAAAGAATACTGGGAGAGGAGATGCTACTGCCATGCTAAGAATTTGCTGTTAAGTCAGCCTCTGAATACAGATATTAAATGACAAAGAAAAAAAAAACAAAACAAGGGAAGAATGTTGCCAGATACTAGATACATGACATGACAGACAAATTATCTCTTCAGTGTCACATTTCTCCTTCATATTTGAATATGAAGTTTCATGAATGATAAAATGGAGTTTAAGAGCTCAGAGTAATTTCTGTAGGTACTGACTGACCGATGCTCTCTCTGATTAACGCTAAATACAGAGGTAGCTCATTGTCCTCAGAGAAAGGAAGAAAAACTGTTTTGGCACTTCTGTTTGACTCCATTGTAATCCAAGGATAGCACATCATGCATCAACGTATGTGTGAGGCACTACGAATTATATAGGGACAAAGAGGAACTGGCAGGCAAGATATCTGATAAATCTGCCCTGAGTAAGATCGGAACATTCAGAAAGGAAGAGAGCACCAATTTCTTACACTGCAACAGAGGCTCAAAACATATAATCCTGACTTTCCATCTTTGTGGCCTTGTAACACAGGATGATTGACAATCCACTAGCATGTTCATTTTCCTCTCAGGAAAACAGCAATGACTGTCTCTGAAGTAACTTACAGGAATCAGGTAGTAAGTAATATGACTTCAGTCATCCTTTCATTAAGTAAATTACAGTATTCTTGACAGAATAGGAAAAGGGCCATATATTACTTCACTTGATTAAATGCTTAGTATGGGGACATTTTTTACCTTGGAAGGTAGCCTCAGAGACTTGAAGCAGCTCTGCCAGACTACCACACACATTAGTCACTGAGGCAAGTCTGCTACCATCCCGTCCTTTCACTGGATTCATTTGTATTTCTTCCCTTCCCTTCCCTTCCCTTCCCTTCCCTTCCCTTCCCTTCCCTTCCCTTCCCTTCCCTTCCCTTCCCTTCCCTTCCCTTCCCTTCCCTTCCCTTCCCTTCCCTTCCCTTCCCTTCCCTTCCCTTCCCTTCCCTTCCCTTCCCTTCCCTTCCCTTCCCTTCCCTTCCCTTCCCTTCCCTTCCCTTCCCTTCCCTTCCCTTCCCTTCCCTTCCCTTTACCGCATCAGACCCATTGAATTTACCTTGTAAACTGAGCTGAACTTCCTTTTATAATCCCTAAGAGTTCACACATGTTGGAACTGCTGAACAGGAACTGATAATTTCTCTCCCTGCTTTCCATAAAATGGTAGGTTTAGTTTCTTCTCCAGCATAGTGAGCATAGTAAGATTTATAGTTAGCTGGGCTGCGTCAGGCCTGGTTGTATGAGGTGTTCATTTATGTAGGCCACCTGACCTTCTGGATTGTTCAGATGCCTTAAGAAATTCCCTTCTATATTTTCTACCATCTGTGTCTGTTCCTTCGAAACTCCTGATTTTACTCTTGAAAAAGTACAAAACTAAAACCTTGCCAGAAACAAACCAGGCAGTTTGAAGTATGCAAAACTTGAGAATAAATGAATGACAGATAGCACTCATCTTGCAAACTCCATCCCTAATGGCTGCTGTTCTGTAAATATTTTAAATTTCATCCAGTGTGCTTGGCCATTGAAAAGTATTGTGGTGTGCAACTGACAGGTAATATATTTGGTCCAGCAGGCAATAGGGGAGATTCATTAGGTGATTCATTTTACATTCAGCCTCCCTTTTCTTTCAACAAATGATCTATCTAATTCATTAAATACTGCAACATATTCCAGACACGGTATTTTTATTTTGATATATGTCATATATGTTTGATTAGAAATATTTGTTTCAATAGTTAATGTACTTTAGGCATTCTAGTTTGTAATATTCCCACCTCAATCCTTTGTTTCTGTGTTTAGAAGACTGAAGCACCTCTGAATAATAAATATGCTGATTAAACTCCAACTGCCTTGTGCAAAATGTGCTGATTCTGCTGGAAAAAGTTATATCGTTTGTCACAGGTTTTGGCCTAAGAAGTATTCGCAGAATTAAGATAGCTAGGCCCTAGTTCAGAATTTGTATTGTATCTTATGAATGAAGTCCTTTAACTTAAGCCAGTGAAAGCTAAAAAAATTAAGCATGTGCTAAGATTGAGTTGTTAGCTAACTACATTCCTAAAGGAAACCTTTGCATAGAACTGTGCTATTCTGTTTTCATTCTTCTAATAAACAACAATTCATAGTAAATTTCTAATAAAGACTAATATTTATGCATGTTTAATTTGCAAAGTATCTAGTTTCTCTTGTTCTTTGACCCTGCTGCTTTGATTCTCCTCATGGAACAGGACATTGTGCTTTCAGTTGTTTTTCTTTCAGTTTATTTCCTCTTTTTTAAATTATTCATTAACATTTAAATGAGAAATCAGCAATGTTGTTATTTGAAGCCCCATATTATATCAAAGAAAATCAATTGTAATTTTTTTATTGAATATTGTAGTAGTATCTTGTCCTTTATCTGTATTGATCTAATGAGATAATATCTAAACTATTTGCTGTTTAGAGAGTGGCATATTTTGATGGTGTCCATACAGCTGACAAAATCAGACAGTATGACAAAAAATAGCAAAATGACTTTCAAAAGGAAAAGGAGGTGAGAAAAGAATATTCTGTGTACAGTGTACTTTTATTCAAGGGCTGAGTGTGTGTGTGGAGCAGCAGAGAGAGATGTGGAAACTGAAATGTTTCATGAAGACAGTTTGAGGTCCACATAACAAGTTTTCCAAGAACTTTTATTTCAAATCAGTCCTGGCATATGTTCATAGACTGAATGTACGTTTGTGATTTGAGAGTTGTCTTGGTGCTGATCTTCCTATTTCCTTCATTCAGGATGAATACAATCTACAGACACAAAGAGTATACTATGGTTAAAGTACATAGTCACTGGTGTGACTACTAACTATGATGCAGCCTTAGACACAAAGATATGAATCCCATACTTCTTTTACTTCACTTTAATTACTGGACATAGCTGAATTTCTTAGCAAAATTGGTGTAAGTATATATAAATAAATT